ACTCTTTAAACTAGAGACACTACATACTGATATACACCTGAACATCAGCAGGAGAGGACTCTTTAAAGTAGAGACACTACATACTGATATACACCTGAACATCAGCAGGAGAGGACTCTTTAAAGTAGAGACACTACATACTGATATACACCTGAACATCAGCAGGAGAGGACTCTTTAAAGTAGAGACACTACATACTGATATACACCTGAACATCAGCAGGAGAGGACTCTTTAAAGTAGAGACACTACATACTGATATACACCTGAACATCAGCAGGAGAGGACTCTTTAAAGTAGAGACACTACATACTGATATACACCTGAACATCAGCAGGAGAGGACTCTTTAAAGTAGAGACACTACATACTGATATACACCTGAACATCAGCAGGAGAGGACCTCTTTAAAGTAGAGACACTACATACTGATATACACCTGAACATCAGCAGGAGAGGACTCTTTAAAGTAGAGACACTACATACTGATATACACCTGAACATCAGCAGGAGAGGACTCTTTAAAGTAGAGACACTACATACTGATATACACCTGAACATCAGCAGGAGAGGACTCTTTAAAGTAGAGACACTACATACTGATATACACCTGAACATCAGCAGGAGAGGACTCTTTAAAGTAGAGACACTACATACTGATATACACCTGAACATCAGCAGGAGAGGACTCTTTAAAGTAGAGACACTACATACTGATATACACCTGAACATCAGCAGGAGAGGACTCTTTAAAGTAGAGACACTACATACTGATATACACCTGAACATCAGCAGGAGAGGACTCTTTAAAGTAGAGACACTACATACTGATATACACCTGAACATCAGCAGGAGAGGGACTCTTTAAAGTAGAGACACTACATACTGATATACACCTGAACATCAGCAGGAGAGGACTCTTTAAAGTAGAGACCACTACATACTGATATACACCTGAACATCAGCAGGAGAGGACTCTTTAAAGTAGAGACACTACATACTGATATACACCTGAACATCAGCAGGAGAGGACTCTTTAAAGTAGAGACACTACATACTGATATACACCTGAACATCAGCAGGAGAGGACTCTTTAAAGTAGAGACACTACATACTGATATACACCTGAACATCAGCAAGGAGAGGACTCTTTAAAGTAGAGACACTACATACTGATATACACCTGAACATCAGCAGGAGAGGACTCTTTAAAGTAGAGACACTACATACTGATATACACCTGAACATCAGCAGGAGAGGACTCTTTAAAGTAGAGACACTACATACTGATATACACCTGACATCAGCAGGAGAGGACTCTTTAAAGTAGAGACACTACATACTGATATACACCTGAACATCAGCAGGAGAGGACTCTTAAAGTAGAGACACTACATACTGATATACACCCTGAACATCAGCAGGAGAGGACTTTTTAAAGTAGAGACACTACATACTGATATACACCTGAACATCAGCAGGAGAGGACTCTTTAAAGTAGAGACACTACATACTGATATACACCTGAACATCAGCAGGAGAGGACTCTTTAAAGTAGAAACACTACATACTGATATACACCTGAACATCAGCAGGAGAGGACTCTTTAAAGGAGAGCCACTACATACTGATATACACCTGAACATCAGCAGGAGAGGACTCTTTAAAGTAGAGACACTACATACTGATATACACCTGAACATCAGCAGGAGAGGACTCTTTAAAGTAGAGACACTACATACTGATATACACCTGAACATCAGCAGGAGAGGACTTTTAAAGTAGAGACACTACATACTGATATACACCTGAACATCAGCAGGAGAGGACTCTTTAAAGTAGAGACACTACATACTGATATACACCTGAACATCAGCAGGAGAGGACTCTTTAAAGTAGAGACACTACATACTGATATACACCTGAACATCAGCAGGAAGAGGACTATTTAAAGTAGAGCCACTACATACTGATATACACCTGAACATCAGCAGGAGAGGACTCTTTAAAGTAGAGACACTACATACTGATATACACCTGAACATCAGCAGGAGAGGACTCTTTAAAGTAGAGACACTACATACTGATATACACCTGAACATCAGCAGGAGAGGACTCTTTAAAGTAGAGACACTACATACTGATATACACCTGAACATCAGCAGGAGAGGACTCTTTAAAGTAGAGACACTACATACTGATATACACCTGAACATCAGCAGGAGAGGACTCTTTAAAGTAGAGACACTACATACTGATATACACCTGAACATCAGCAGGAGAGGACTCTTTAAAGTAGAGACACTACATACTGATATACACCTGAACATCAGCAGGAGAGGACTCTTTAAAGTAGAGACACTACATACTGATATACACCTGAACATCAGCAGGAGAGGACTCTTTAAAGTAGAGACACTACATACTGATATACACCTGAACATCAGCAGGAGAGGACTCTTTAAAGTAGAGACACTACATACTGATATACACCTGAACATCAGCAGGAGAGGACTCTTTAAAGTAGAGACACTACATACTGATATACACCTGAACATCAGCAGGAGAGGACTCTTTAAAGTAGAGACACTACATTACTGATATACACCTGAACATCAGCAGGAGAGGACTCTTTAAAGTAGAGACACTACATACTGATATACACCTGAACATCAGCAGGAGAGGACTCTTTAAAGTAGAGACACTACATACTGATATACACCTGAACATCAGCAGGAGAGGACTCTTTAAAGTAGAGACACTACATACTGATATACACCTGAACATCAGCAGGAGAGGACTCTTTTAAAGTAGAGACACTACATACTGATATACACCTGAACATCAGCAGGAGAGGACTCTTTAAAGTAGAGACACTACATACTGATATACACCTGAACATCAGCAGGAGAGGACTCTTTAAAGTAGAAGACACTACATACTGATATACACCTGAACATCAGCAGGAGAGGACTCTTTAAAGTAGAGACACTACATACTGATATACACCTGAACATCAGCAGGAGAGGACTCTTTAAAGTAGAGACACTACATACTGATATACACCTGAACATCAGCAGGAGAGGACTCTTTAAAGTAGAGACCACTACATACTGATATACACCTGAACATCAGCAGGAGAGGACTCTTTAAAGTAGAGACACTACATACTGATATACACCTGAACATCAGCAGGAGAGGACTCTTTAAAGTAGAGACACTACATACTGATATACACCTGAACATCAGCAGGAGAGGACTCTTAAAGTAGAGACACTACATACTGATATACACCTGAACATCAGCAGGAGAGGACTCTTTAAAGTAGAGACACTACATACTGATATACACCTGAACATCAGCAGGAGAGGACTTTTTAAAGTAGAGACACTACATACTGATATACACCTGAACATCAGCAGGAGAGGACTCTTTAAAGTAGAGACACTACATACTGATATACACCTGAACATCAGCAGGAGAGGACTCTTTAAAGTAGAGACACTACATACTGATATACACCTGAACATCAGCAGGAGAGGACTCTTTAAAGTAGAGCCACTACATACTGATATACACCTGAACATCAGCAGGAGAGGACTCTTTAAAGTAGAGACACTACATACTGATATACACCTGAACATCAGCAGGAGAGGACTCTTTAAAGTAGAGACACTACATACTGATATACACCTGAACATCAGCAGGAGAGGACTCTTTTAAAGTAGAGACACTACATACTGATATACACCTGAACATCAGCAGGAGAGGACTCTTTTAAAGTAGAGACACTACATACTGATATACACCTGAACATCAGCAGGAGAGGACTCTTTAAAGTAGAGACACTACATACTGATATACACCTGAACATCAGCAGGAGAGGACTCTTTAAAGTAGAGACACTACATACTGATATACACCTGAACATCAGCAGGAGAGGACTCTTTAAAGTAGAGACACTACATACTGATATACACCTGAACATCAGCAGGAGAGGACTCTTTAAAGTAGAGACACTACATACTGATATACACCTGAACATCAGCAGGAGAGGACTCTTTAAAGTAGAGACACTACATACTGATATACACCTGAACATCAGCAGGAGAGGACTCTTTAAAGTAGAGACACTACATACTGATATACACCTGAACATCAGCAGGAGAGGACTCTTTAAAGTAGAGACACTACATACTGATATACACCTGAACATCAGCAGGAGAGGACTCTTTAAAGTAGAGACACTACATACTGATATACACCTGAACATCAGCAGGAGAGGACTCTTTAAAGTAGAGACACTACATACTGATATACACCTGAACATCAGCAGGAGAGGACTCTTTAAAGTAGAGACACTACATACTGATATACACCTGAACATCAGCAGGAGAGGACTCTTTAAAGTAGAGACACTACATACTGATATACACCTGAACATCAGCAGGAGAGGACTCTTTAAAGTAGAGACACTACATACTGATATACACCTGAACATCAGCAGGAGAGGACTCTTTAAAGTAGAGACACTACATACTGATATACACCTGAACATCAGCAGGAGAGGACTCTTAAAGTAGAGACACTACATACTGATATACACCTGAACATCAGCAGGAGAGGACTCTTTAAAGTAGAGACACTACATTACTGATATACACCTGAACATCAGCAGGAGAGGACTCTTTAAAGTAGAGACACTACATACTGATATACACCTGAACATCAGCAGGAGAGGACTCTTTAAAGTAGAGACACTACATACTGATATACACCTGAACATCAGCAGGAGAGGACTCTTTAAAGTAGAGACACTACATACTGATATACACCTGAACATCAGCAGGAGAGGACTCTTTAAAGTAGAGACACTACATACTGATATACACCTGAACATCAGCAGGAGAGGACTCTTTAAAGTAGAGACACTACATACTGATATACACCTGATCAGCAGGGACTCTTTAAAGGAAGAGCTTCATGACTCATGACACGATCATCACTTTAAAACGTGTTTTATTGTGACAGACACACAGTGGGAACCTCATGTATTTTATTAGAAATGTTACAACAACACTGAACCTGCTCGTACCGCTGTGCAAAGTCTCGTCTACTTTCGAGGCGAGCCGCAGCTCGTCTCAAACAAGCCTACTGTGTTCGGGTCACATGACGGGTCACATGGCGGGTCACATGGCGGGTCACATGGCGGGTCACATGGCGGGTCACATGGCGGGTCACATCGCGGGTCACATCGCGGGTCACTTGACGGGTCACATGGGGGGTCACATGGCGGGTCACTTGACGGGTCACATGGCGGGTCACATGGCTGGTCACTTGACGGGTCACATGGCGGGTCACATGGCGGGTCACATGGGGGGTCACTTGACGGGTTACATGGCGGGTCACATGGCGGGTCACATGGCGGGTCACTTGACGGGTCACATGGGGGGTCACATGGCGTGTCACATGGGGGGTCACATGGCGGGTCACATGACGGGTCACATGGGGGTCACATGGCGGGTCACATGACGGGTCACATGGCGTGTCACATGACGGGTCACATGGCGGGTCACATGGCGGGTCACATGGCGGGTCAAATGGGACTCTGAAGATAAAAGGATAACTGGAAGGAAGCTGTACCTGTCAATCACCTGCAACATCTTTATAAGATCATTAATCACAACAAACATGTGATCGATGGGCCATGCTAGCTCTGTTAGCATTGAAGCTCAGGCATTTAAGGTCAATTAAAAGACATATAAAGGTCATATGAAGGTCTTTTAAAGGTCATACGAAGGTCTTTTAAAGGTCATATGAAGGTCTTTTAAAGGTCATATGAAGGATGAAGGTCTTTTAAAGGTCATATGAAGGTCTTTTAAAGGTCATATGAAGGATGAAGGTCTTTTAAAGGTCTTACGAAGGTCTTTTAAAGGTCATATGAAGGATGAAGGTCTTTTAAAGGTCATATGAAGGTGAGGTGCTGGTGTTCATCGAGGCCGTATTTTTCTTTGTTCTGCTCGAACAGGTGGGTCAGACTCTGCAGGTAAATCCGATGCAGACCCTCGATGTCCTCTGAGCTGGGACTGGGAGTCCGGACCAATGGGATGGGCTCTCCCACTGAAGAGCAGACAGGAAACAAACTCACAGCTTCAAAAACTCTCCTGGGCTGGTCAATGGTGTATACTGGGCTAAAGACAGGCTAATGTTAGGCTAATGCTGGGCTAAAGACAGGCTAATGTTAGGCTAATGTTAGGCTAAAGACAGGCTAATGTTAGGCTAAAGACAGGCTAATGTTAGGCTAATGTTAGGCTAATGTTAGGCTAAAGACAGGCTAATGTTAGGCTAATGTTAGGCTAAAGACAGGCTAATGTTAGGCTAATGCTGGGCTAAAGACAGGCTAATGCTGGGCTAAAGACAGGCTAATGTTAGGCTAATGTTAGGCTAATGTTAGGCTAAAGACAGGCTAATGTTAGGCTAAAGACAGGCTAATGTTAGGCTAATGTTAGGCTAATGTTAGGCTAATGCTGGGCTAAAGACAGGCTAATGTTAGGCTAATGTTAGGCTAATGTTAGGCTAAAGACAGGCTAATGTTAGGCTAATGTTAGGCTAATGTTAGGCTAATGTTAGACTAAAGACAGGCTAATGTTAGGCTAAAGACAGGCTAATGTTAGGCTAATGTTAGGCTAATGTTAGGGCTAAAGACAGGCTAATGTTAGGCTAATGTTAGGCTAATGTTAGGCTAAAGACAGGCTAATGTTAGGCTAATGTTAGGCTAATGTTAGGCTAATGCTAGGCTAATGCTAGGCTAATGCTAGGCTAATGCTGGGCTAAAGACAGGCTAATGTTAGGCTAATGCTGGGCTAAAGTTAGGCTAATGTTGGGCTAATGTTGGGCTAATGTTAGGCTAATGCTAGGCTAATGCTAGGCTAAAGACAGGCTAATGTTAGGCTAATGTAAGGCTAATGTTAGGCTAATGTTAGGCTAAAGACAGGCTAAAGACAGGCTAATGTTAGGCTAATGCTGGGCTAAAGACAGGCTAATGTTAGGCTAATGTTAGGCTAAAGACAGGCTAATGTTAGGCTAATGTTAGGCTAATGTTAGGCTAATGCTAGGCTAATGTTAGGCTAATGCTGGGCTAAAGACAGGCTAATGTTAGGCTAATGCTGGGCTAAAGTTAGGCTAATGTTGGGCTAATGTTGGGCTAATGTTAGGCTAATGCTAGGCTAAAGACAGGCTAATGTTAGGCTAATGCTGGGCTAAAGACAGGCTAATGTTAGGCTAATGTTAGGCTAAAGACAGGCTAATGTTAGGCTAATGTTAGGCTAATGCTGGGCTAAAGACAGGCTAATGTTAGGCTAATGTTAGGCTAAAGACAGGCTAATGTTAGGCTAATGCTAGGCTAATGTTAGGCTAATGTTAGGCTAAAGACAGGCTAATGTTAGGCTAATGCTGGGCTAAAGACAGGCTAATGTTAGGCTAATGTTAGGCTAAAGACAGGCTAATGTTAGGCTAATGCTGGGCTAAGGACAGGCTAATGTTAGGCTAATGTTAGGCTAATGTTAGGCTAATGCTGGGCTAAAGTCATGCCCAACGCCTAGCCTGAAACTGGGGCTAACACTGGGCTCAAACTAGGCTCACTCTGGGCTAAACGCTAACCCTGGGCTAACGCTAGGCTCACTCTGGGCTAACGCTAGGCTCACTCTGGGCTAATGCTAACCCTGGGCTAACGCTAGGCTAACGCTAGGCTCACTGTGGTCTACACTCTAGGCTAACGCTAGGCTCACCCTGGGCTAAGGCTAGGCTCAATCTGGTCTACACTCAGCGGTGGACTGGGACTACAAATCAGCCCGGGACTCTCGACCGGCCCGTACCACCGCTAGTAAATTGTCGCTAGGCTCACCCTGGGCTAACGCTAGGCTCACTCTAAGCTAACGCTAGGCTAACGCTAGGCTCACCCTGGGCTAACACTAGGCTAACGCTCACTCCGGGCTACATGTCAGCTAGCTGTCGTACCGACGGTGTTGATTGGCTTCCTGTAGGGCATCAGGCCGAAGCTGTACTGGAAAACTCCTCTGGCGTGAAACAGAGGCAGCGCGACTCCCATGATGCTTTGCAGCCGGTTCTATGGACACAGACACACTGACCCTTAAATATATATATATATATATATATATATATTGCACGTATTTATATTTAGAGTGTGTGTTTGTAGGTGTAAACATGTGTGTGAGACCTCTGACCTGCAGCCTCCTGAGAGGAGAACCACTCGGGTTCTCCATCTGATCAAACAACTCGTTCTCCCCGAAGGAAAAGACAGGAACCAGCTGAGCCCTACACACACACACACACACACACAGATCTGTGTGATTATGCATTATTTACAAAAACCACGCACACACACACACACACACACACACACACACCCCCCCCACGCACACACACACCCCCCCACGCACCCACACACCCACACACCCCACCCACACACACACCCGTGTTTGAGAGCCAGTTTGATGAAGCCCTTCCGGTTCAGGATCTGAAACACAAAGTTAGCCTGTTATCCTTTATATGAGGACGAAACGTAGCATTATGCTAAGCTAACGGACAGCTGACGCTTGTTGGTCAAGCCCGCAGGAAGTGCGCCGGACTCTGAGGAAAACATTCCTAGTGGCCAAACGGCGGTACTACAACGTCCGTATCAGTCCGTGACGTCACTGGACCAGAAAGACTTTCCCCATTGGCTAACATGGAGAAAGAGACGTCTGTGAATTAGAGGATCATTCAAACTAAATAAACTACCCAGAATGCACTCTGTGATAGCCCTTATTAGAATCATTCGGTCCTTAAAGTTGTAAAATGCACTAAAAGCTGAATCTGGATTTATTTTCTCTCTCCATTCATTTTGCTGAGCCGAGAGCAGGAGGGGGCGGGGCTTAATGACAGGGGGCGGGGCTTAAGGGGCGCATGCTCTGTGAGCGCACATACGGGTTCTTCTGCTCTGACAGCTAGGCATGCTGGGTAATCTGTGACTTTTCGCTCTCTCAAAAGTTGGGCCATTTTGTCCTCATGAGCCAATGAGCAGCTCTCATAGGACAGAACGAGACCCCGCCTCCCACGCTGTATCCAGTCCTCATCCATGGTGTTGGTCCAGTGAGATTTCATTCACATGTCATTAATAAACATTTTGTATTTCTTAGACACAGCAATGCTAAGCTAACAGGTAAACAGCACCTGCAGCTTCAAGGCTCCGGGCCGAGCCTCCAGAGACTCCACTGCCCCCCCGAGCGCTATCACAGCCACATTACCTCCACCTGGACGACTCAGGAGGTGAGACAGGCTGCTCTTACTGCTGGAGACCAGGCCTGCAGGTGAGACAGGTGCGAGAGAGACAGGTGAGAGAGGACTCAGACAGACAGACAGAGAGACAGGTAACTCCACACATGATGTAGTCTCTGAACAGAGGGACAGACAGACAGACAGAGAGACAGACAGACAGAGAGACAGACACACAGACAGACAGACAGACAGACAGACAGACAGACAGACAGACAGACAGACACACACACAGACAGACAGACAGACAGACAGAGAGAGAGACAGACAGACAGACAGACAGACAGACAGACAGACAGACAGACAGACAGACAGACAGAGAGACAGACAGACAGACAGACAGACAGACACACAGACAGGTACCTCCACACATGATGTAGTCTCTGAACAGAGGGACTCTGAACCAGAATGGCAGCATCAGCAGGTGAGAGGTGAGGCCTGGAAACATCCTGGAGAACCCCGAGGCCTCAGTGCAGAAGTTACAGAACCCCCCTGCTACCAGCACACCTGAGAGACAGACAGGTAGAGACAGGTGAGAGACAGACAGGTGAGAGAGAGAGACAGGTGAGAGACAGACAGGTAGAGACAGACAGGGGAGAGGTGAGGCCTGGAAACATCCTGGAGAACCCTGAGGCCTCAGTGCAGAAGTTACAGAACCCCCCTGCTACCAGCACACCTGAGAGACAGACAGGTAGAGACAGACAGGTGAGAGAGAGAGACAGGTGAGAGAGAGACAGGTGAGAGAGAGACAGGTGAGAGAGAGACAGGTAGAGACAGGTGAGAGAGAGACAGGTGAGAGACAGACAGGTGAGAGACAGACAGGTGAGAGACAGACAGGTGAGAGAGAGAGACAGGTGAGAGAGAGACAGACAGGTAGAGACAGGTGAGAGACAGACAGGTGACAGAGAGACAGACAGGTGAGAGACAGACAGGTGAGAGAAAGACAGGTGAGACAGACAGGAGAGAGACAGACAGGTAGAGACAGACAGGTGAGAGACAGACAGGTGAGAGACAGGTGAGACAGACAGGAGAGAGACAGACAGATGAGACAGACAGGTGAGAGACAGACAGGTGAGAGACAGGTGAGACAGACAGGAGAGAGACAGACAGGTGAGAGACAGACAGGTGAGACAGACAGGAGAGAGACAGACAGGTAGAGACAGGTGAGAGACAGACAGGTGAGACAGACAGGCGAGACAGACAGGTGAGAGACAGACAGGTGAGACAGGTGAGAGACAGACAGGTGAGACAGACAGTTGAGAGACAGACAGGTGAGACAGACAGGTGAGACAGACAGGTGAGAGACAGACAGGTGAGACAGACAGGTGAGACAGACAGGTGAGAGACAGGTGAGACAGACAGGAGAGAGACAGACAGGTGAGAGACAGACAGGCGAGAGACAGACAGGCGAGAGACAGACAGGTAGAGACAGACAGGTGAGAGACAGACAGGTGAGAGACAGGTGAGACAGACAGGAGAGAGACAGACAGGTAGAGACAGGTGAGAGACAGACAGGTGAGAGACAGACAGGTGAGACAGACAGGCGAGACAGACAGGTGAGAGACAGACAGGTGAGACAGGTGAGAGACAGACAGGTGAGACAGACAGGTGAGACAGACAGGTGAGAGACAGACAGGTGAGACAGACAGGTGAGAGACAGACAGGTGAGACAGACAGGTGTTCTCACCATGAGGATGGAACCCGAAGATGTAGTTTTTCTTTGGATCCAGATCCACAGTTTTCAGAAGCTGGAGAGACAAAGAGGATCAGAGTCAGAGTCGGGTCCTCAGTGATGAGTCGGGTCCTCAGTGATGAGTCGGGTCCTCAGTGATGAGTAAGGTCCTCAGTGATGAGTCGGGTCCTCAGTGATGAGTCGGGTCCTCAGTGATGAGTCGGGTCCTCAGTTATGAGTCGGGTCCTCAGTGATGAGTCGGGTCCTCAGTGATGATGAGTCGGGTCCTCAGTGATGAGTCGGGTCCTCAGTGATGAGTCGGGTCCTCAGTGATGAGTCGGGTCCTCAGTGATGATGAGTCGGGTCCTCAGTGATGATGAGTCGGGTCCTCAGTGATGAGTCGGGCCCTCAGTGATGAGTCGGGCCCTCAGTTATGAGTAAGGTCCTCAGTGATGAGTCGGGTCCTCAGTGATGAGTCGGGTCCTCAGTGATGAGTCGGGTCCTCAGTTATGAGTCGGGTCCTCAGTGATGAGTCGGGTCCTCAGTGATGAGTCGGGTCCTCAGTGATGAGTCGGGTCCTCAGTGATGAGTCGGGTCCTCAGTGATGAGTCGGGTCCTCAGTGATGATGAGTCGGGTCCTCAGTGATGAGTCGGGTCCTCAGTGATGAGTCGGGTCCTCAGTGATGAGTCGGGTCCTCAGTGATGAGTCGGGTCCTCAGTGATGATGAGTCGGGTCCTCAGTGATGATGAGTCGGGTCCTCAGTGATGAGTCGGGCCCTCAGTGATGAGTCGGGCCCTCAGTTATGAGTAAGGTCCTCAGTGATGAGTCGGGTCCTCAGTGATGAGTCGGGTCCTCAGTGATGAGTCGGGTCCTCAGTGATGAGTCGGGCCCTCAGTGATGAGTCGGGTCCTCAGTGATGAGTCGGGTCCTCAGTGATGAGTCGGGCCCTCAGTGATGAGTCGGGCCCTCAGTGATGAGTCGGGTCCTCAGTGATGAGTCGGGTCCTCAGTGATGAGTCGGGTCCTCAGTGATGATGAGTCGGGTCCTCAGTGATGAGTAAGGTCCTCAGTGATGAGTCGGGTCCTCAGTGATGAGTCGGGTCCTCAGTGATGAGTCGGGTCCTCAGTGATGATGAGCCAGAACCTCTCTCCATCAGAACCTCTCTCCATCACAACCTCTCTCCACCAGGACCAGAACCTCTCTCCATCAGAACCAGAACCTCTCTCCATCAGAACCTCTCTCCATCAGAACCTCTCTCCACCAGGACCAGAACCTCTCTCCATCAGAACCTCTCTCCACCAGAACCAGAACCTCTCTCCACCAGAACCTCTCTCCATCAGAACCTCTCTCCACCGGAACCAGAACCTCTCTCCACCAGAACCAGAACCTCTCTCCACCAGGACCAGAACCTCTCTCCATCAGAACCTCTCTCCACCAGAACCTCTCTCCATCAGAACCTCTCTCCACCAGAACCAGAACCTCTCTCCACCAGAACCTCTCTCCATCAGAACCTCTCTCCACCAGAACCAGAACCTCTCTCCACCAGACTCTCTCTCCACCAGAACCTCTCTCCACCAGAACCAGAACCTCTCTCAACCAGAACCTCTCTCCACCAGAACCAGACTCTCTCTCCACCAGAACCAGAACCTCTCTCCATCAGAACCTCTCTCCACCAGAACCAGAACCTCTCTCCACCAGACTCTCTCTCCACCAGAACCAGAACCTCTCTCCACCAGAACCAGAACCTCTCTCCACCAGAACCTCTCTCCACCAGAACCAGAACCTCTCTCCATCAGACTCTCTCTCCACCAGAACCAGAACCTCTCTCCACCAGAACCTCTCTCCACCAGAACCAGAACCTCTCTCCATCAGACTCTCTCTCCACCAGAACCAGAACCTCTCTCCACCAGAACCAGAACCTCTCTCCATCAGAACCAGTTGTATGAATAAAGATAGAGTCTCACCCTGAGGGGGAAGTAGTCCCTGAAGAACTCCCACACTCTCCAGCTCCTCATCCAATCAGACCTGCGACCCCCACTGGTGGGCGTGTCCCCGTCCAGCCACAGCCAACCAGCATACAGCACGGCCAGCATCCACCAATCAGAGAGCAGGAGCAGCATGAAGGCTGCCAGACACACCTGAGCTGAGAGACAGACAGACAGACAGACAGTTGAGACAGACAGCTGAGAGACAGAAGTCAGACAGACAGCTGAGAGACAGACAGACAGACAGACAGACAGACAGACAGACAGACAGACAGACAGACAGACAGCTGAGAGACAGACAGTTGAGACAGACAGCTGAGAGACAGAAGTCAGACAGACAGACAGCTGAGAGACAGACAGGTGAGACAGAAGTCAGACAGACAGGTGAGAGACAGACAGACAGACAGCTGAGAGACAGAAGTCAGACAGACAGACAGTTGAGACAGACAGCTGAGAGACAGAAGTCAGACAGACAGGTGAGACAGACAGACAGACAGACAGACAGACAGACAGACAGACAGACAGACAGACAGACAGACAGACAGACAGACAGACAGACTTTTTTTACCAGGCTGGACAAGCTAAACCAGCATAGCCCAGCACTCTTCATCCGTCATTCACGCGAGGCAGTCGCAATTTTGACAGGCTCCCACTACGTGTGTGTGTGTCGATTAAGAGGAAAAGATGCCTGTTCTCTTGTTGTTATTACTGTCAGGAAATGTCCAACCTAACCCTGGTCCGCCCAGTAGCAGCAGTCAGATCACTACTCTGCTGATTTTAAAGCTAGGTCTGGGTTGGGTCTCATCCACTTGAATGTGCGCAGTCTGTTAGGTAAACTAGATTTTGTCTGCATTTGGGCGAGCTCGACTGACGCTGACGTCATTGTGTTATCAGAAACATGGCTAAATAAAACTATTTTGGGAGAGAAACAAGGAGTCTCCTGCATGAGAGAAACAAGGAGTCTCCTGCATGAGAGAAACAAGGAGTCTCCTGCATGAGAGAAACAAGGAGTCTCCTGCATGAGAGAAACAAGGAGTCTCCTGCATGAGAGAAACAAGGCGTCTCCTTCATGAGAGAAACAAGGAGTCTCCTGCATGAGAGAAACAAGGAGTCTCCTGCTTGAGAGAAACAAGGAGTCTCCTTCATGAGAGAAACAAGGAGTCTCCTGCGTGAGAGAAACAAGGAGTCTCCTGATGAGAGAAACAAGGAGTCTCCTGATGAGAGAAACAAGGAGTCTCCTTCATGAGAGAAACAAGGAGTCTCCTGATGAGAGAAACAAGGAGTCTCCTGATGAGAGAAACAAGGCGTCTCCTGCATGAGAGAAACAAGGAGTCTCCTGCGTGAGAGAAACAAGGAGTCTCCTTCATGAGAGAAACAAGGAGTCTCCTGCATGAGAGAAACAAGGAGTCTCCTGCGTGAGAGAAACAAGGAGTCTCCTGATGAGAGAAACAAGGAGTCTCCTGATGAGAGAAACAAGGCGTCTCCTGCATGAGAGAAACAAGGAGTCTCCTGCATGAGAGAAACAAGGAGTCTCCTTCATGAGAGAAACAAGGAGTCTCCTTCATGAGAGAAACAAGGAGTCTCCTTCACGAGAGAAACAAGGAGTCTCCTGCATGAGAGAAACAAGGAGTCTCCTGCACGAGAGAAACAAGGAGTCTCCTGATGAGAGAAACAAGGAGTCTCCTTCATGAGAGAAACAAGGAGTCTCCTGATGAGATAGAAACAAGGAAAGTTCTCCTGATGAGAGAAACAAGGAGTCTCCTGATGAGAGAAACAAGGAGTCTCCTGATGAGAGAAACAAGGAGTCTCCTGATGAGAGAAACAAGGAGTCTCCTGATGAGAGAAACAAGGAGTCTCCTGATGAGAGAAAACAGGGAGTCTCCTCATGAGAGAAACAAGGAGTCTCCTGATGAGAGAAACAAGAGTCTCCTGATGAGAGAAACAAGGAGTCTCCTGCATGAGAGAAACAAGGAGTCTCCTGCATGAGAGAAACAAGGAGTCTCCTGATGAGAGAAACAAGGAGTCTCCTGCATGAGAGAAACAAGGAGTCTCCTGCACGAGAGAAACAAGGAGTCTCCTGATGAGAGAAACAAGGAGTCTCCTGATGAGAGAAACAAGGAGTCTCCTTCATGAGAGAAACAAGGAGTCTCCTTCATGAGAGAAACAAGGAGTCTCCTGATGAGAGAAACAAGGAGTCTCCCTACAATGAGAGAAACAGGAGTCTCCTGATGAGAGAAACAAGGAGTCTCCTGCATGAGAGAAACAAGGAGTCTCCTGATGAGAGAAAACAAGGAGTCTCCTTCATGAGAGAAACAAGGAGTCTCCTTCATGAGAGAAACAAGGAGTCTCCTGATGAGAGAAACAAGGAGTCTCCTTCATGAGAGAAACAAGGAGTCTCCTGATGAGAGAAACAAGGAGTCTCCTGATGAGAGAAACAAGGAGTCTCCTACATGAGAGAAACAAGGAGTCTCCTGATGAGAGAAACAAGGAGTCTCCTGATGAGAGAAACAAGGAGTCTCCTGATGAGAGAAACAAGGAGTCTCCTGATGAGAGAAACAAGGAGTCTCCTCCATGAGAGAAACAAGGAGTCTCCTGATGAGAGAAACAAGGAGTCTCCTACATGAGAGAAACAAGGAGTCTCCTGCAGGAGAGAAACAAGGAGTCTCCTGATGAGAGAAACAAGGAGTCTCCTTCATGAGAGAAACAAGGAGTCTCCTGATGAGAGAAACAAGGAGTCTCCTGATGAGAGAAACAAGGAGTCTCCTGATGAGAGAAACAAGGAGTCTCCTACATGAGAGAAACAAGGAGTCTCCTGATGAGAGAAACAAGGAGTCTCCTGCATGAGAGAAACAAGGAGTCTCCTACATGAGAGAAACAAGGAGTCTCCTGATGAGAGAAACAAGGAGTCTCCTACATGAGAGAAAACAAGGAGTCTCCTGATGAGAGAAACAAGGAGTCTCCTGATGAGAGAAACAAGGAGTCTCCTGATGAGAGAAACAAGGAGTCTCCTTCATGAGAGAAACAAGGAGTCTCCTGATGAGAGAAACAAGGAGTCTCCTGCATGAGAGAAACAAGGAGTCTCCTGATGAGAGAAACAAGGAGTCTCCTTCATGAGAGAAACAAGGAGTCTCCTGCATGAGAGAAACAAGGAGTCTCCTGATGAGAGAAACAAGGAGTCTCCTTCATGAGAGAAACAAGGAGTCTCGAATGAGAAACAAGGAGTCTCCTTCATGAGAGAAACAAGGAGTCTCCTGCATGAGAGAAACAAGGAGTCTCCTGCATGAGAGAAACAAGGAGTCTCCTTCATGAGAGAAACAAGGAGTCTCCTGCATGAGAGAAACAAGGAGTCTCCTGATGAGAGAAACAAGGAGTCTCCTTCATGAGAGAAACAAGGAGTCTCCTTCATGAGAGAAACAAGGAGTCTCCTGATGAGAGAAACAAGGAGTCTCCTACATGAGAGAAACAAGGAGTCTCCTGATGAGAGAAACAAGGAGTCTCCTGATGAGAGAAACAAGGAGTCTCCTGATGAGAGAAACAAGGAGTCTCCTTCATGAGAGAAACAAGGAGTCTCCTTCATGAGAGAAACAAGGAGTCTCCTGATGAGAGAAACAAGGAGTCTCCTTCATGAGAGAAACAAGGAGTCTCCTGATGAGAGAAACAAGGAGTCTCCTGCATGAGAGAAACAAGGAGTCTCCTGATGAGAGAAACAAGGAGTCTCCTGATGAGAGAAACAAGGAGTCTCCTCCATGAGAGAAACAAGGAGTCTCCTGATGAGAGAAACAAGGAGTCTCCTTCATGAGAGAAACAGGAGTCTCCTGCATGAGAGAAACAAGGAGTCTCCTTCATGAGAGAAACAAGGAGTCTCCTGATGAGAGAAACAAGGAGTCTCCTGATGAGAGAAACAAGGAGTCTCCTGATGAGAGAAACAAGGAGTCTCCTGATGAGAGAAACAAGGAGTCTCCTACATGAGAGAAACAAGGAGTCTCCTTCATGAGAGAAACAAGGAGTCTCCTGATGAGAGAAACAAGGAGTCTCCTTCATGAGAGAAACAAGGAGTCTCCTTGCATGAGAGAAACAAGGAGTCTCCTGATGAGAGAAACAAGGAGTCTCCTGATGAGAGAAACAAGGAGTCTCCTTCATGAGAGAACAAGGAGTCTCCTGATGAGAGAAACAAGGAGTCTCCTGATGAGAGAAACAAGGAGTCTCCTGATGAGAGAAACAAGGAGTCTCCTGATGAGAGAAACAAGGAGTCTCCTGCATGAGAGAAACAAGGAGTCTCCTCCATGAGAGAAACAAGGAGTCTCCTGATGAGAGAAACAAGGAGTCTCCTCCATGAGAGAAACAAGGAGTCTCCTGATGAGAGAAACAAGGAGTCTCCTTCATGAGAGAAACAAGGAGTCTCCTGCATGAGAGAAACAAGGAGTCTCCTTCATGAGAGAAACAAGGAGTCTCCTGATGAGAGAAACAAGGAGTCTCCTGATGAGAGAACAAGGAGTCTCCTGCATGAGAGAAACAAGGAGTCTCCTGATGAGAGAAACAAGGAGTCTCCTGCATGAGAGAAACAAGGAGTCTCCTTCATGAGAGAAACAAGGAGTCTCCTTCATGAGAGAAACAAGGAGTCTCCTGCATGAGAGAAACAAGGAGTCTCTTCATGAGAGAAACAAGGAGTCTCCTGATGAGAGAAACAAGGAGTCTCCTGATGAGAGAAACAAGGAGTCTCCTCCATGAGAGAAACAAGGAGTCTCCTGATGAGAGAAACAAGGAGTCTCCTGCATGAGAGAAACAAGGAGTCTCCTGATGAGAGAAACAAGGCGTCTCCTGATGAGAGAAACAAGGAGTCTCCTGATGAGAGAAACAAGGAGTCTCCTCCATGAGAGAAAAGGGTCTCCTTCATGAGAGAAACAAGGAGTCTCCTGATGAGAGAAACAAGGAGTCTCCTGATGAGAGAACAAGAGTCTCCTACGATGAGAACAAGGAGTTCCTTCTGAGAGAACAAGGAGTCTCCTGATGAGAGAAACAAGGAGTCTCCTGATGAGGAAACAAGGTCTCATACATGAGAGAAACAAGGAGTCTCCTGATGAGAAAACAAGGAGTCTCCTGATGAGAGAACAAGGAGTCTCCTGATGATGAAACAAGGAGTCTCCTGATAGAGAAACAA